TGCATGCTAGCTTGGACACGAGCATGCAGCTAGGAGGCAGGATCCGCACTCCAGCACAAAAGTACGGCATTAGGGCAGCGTCCAACATGGCGTCATGATTGGAAAGCCCTCACCCGGGATTGGCTAGGCTCACGCGGCTGATGCATCAACCTTGAGCAGCAGCAAGAAGCCGTGTGCGCGCGGCCTCGCTTACGTCCTTGATTCACATTCGTGGCTGAGATTATAATTGATGCATGAGACGCCCATAGAATAAGGGCTCAAGCCTTATTATTATTGTCTTTCTGCATCGTGCCATTCGCGCGTGATTCAATACCCGTCGATGCCGTGCTCCAATCAGTGTCATGAGTTGCAGGCACGAACTACGTACGAGTCGTTACTGCGGGTTGGGTGCGCTTGCTCTTCAAGATGCCGGCTCAGGCTTACTCGCTAGATCAGCCCCACACGCTCGGTAGCTGCATGGCGTCCTGGCTCTGCTGTGTGGTGCGTTTCATCCACAGCGAGCGCACTTTGACTCAAGACGGCTCACACTCGCACTGCGCTCCTTGCAATTCCATCCAGTCTTATTCGTGACTGCAGCCGGCGCGCGGTCTCTTGTGCTACAGCCTTGCTGCCAGCAACGAGGGAGAGGCATGGCTATCGCGGTGCTTTGTGCCAGCCATGACTTCGGGGAGATGCTTGCTACACCTGCGACAACCAGTTACACAGTCACTGGGTCGCGAGTGACTATCGACGGTCGTGACGCCGCCGAGAGCTGTGCAGTTGGAGCACTTGCATGAGACCAGCTTCATTGGTGGAGCAGTCACAAAGTGCGCCAGCAGTCAGAGTGTCTTCAGCCGCCGAGTCACTTCAAGATCACCAATCGTGAATGAACTCGAGGATGCGTGGCACCAAGCTTGATTTGCTGGCACGTTGCTCGTGGCTTTGATGATACCATACAGAGCGGCTGTCACGCCTAGCAGGGCGAAGCCAGATTCTTTCTGCATGCGTCGCGTTTGGGCGATGTGTCAAGACGACGTACGGGAATGAACCGGGGCGATGAGAACAGAGCCAACCCGATCTCTGAAGTCTGACACACATCCAAGATTGACATTGTGATTGTTGTAGGGAAATATGTGCAAAGCTGTTATCGGTCTCGGGAGAGTATACGATCACTCAAAAGGCACCGAACGGGGCTCGAGGAGGATGGGGGATGCATTCATTCCACAACCGGGTGACAGGAGCCGTGTGTAAAGTACATGGAAGGGGTGAGGGGATCGACTGCTGTGCGCCGCCCCCTTCGGAAGTTGCACTCCGTAAAAGCAACGAGGCTAAAAGGTGGGAATAAAGACGTAAAGTCAAGTGTCGCTGAAGACACTAGACACCAGTCGCGTTAGAGAGCGAGAGCGAAAATCCAGAAGCTTCAGTGCCAATTCTTGGAGCTTGAGACAAGACGGGAGGCGAAAGGAAGAGATCGTGCTGAGGTCCCATTGTGGAAATCATTCAGAACTTGCCAAGGGTGAAGGTGAAGCCACCATCGAGGTTCGCGCTCGCCTTGGGCAAGTTCTTTGCGGTGGGCACGCGGCTTTGGAGGGCCTTGGCGTAGCTCTGGGCTTGAGCTTGGTACTTGAGCAAAGCCGCGCGGATCTGAGCAGCGTAGGCATCAAGCAGCGCGCGCTTCGCAACAAGGGAGGTGAGCTGAGCTTGAGTTTGATCGGCGAACTTCTGATAAGCCGCAGTGATGGCGTCACGGTTGACTTGGCCCTCCACAGTTCCTGCCAGCTTCTCCAAAGCGGTCTGGCCTTCCTTGAGCTTGGCACTTGCGGCATCGATCTGGCTCGCCACATTCTTAGCGCCGGAAGAGAGACCGCTGGTCAGGGTGCCTTGGAGTGCCTTGGATACAGTAGAAGCTTGGTTGCTTGCGGCGGTCAGGTTGTCGACCACGGCACCTGCTGCGCGTTTGGCCGCGTCAGGGCTCAGCGCCTTTGTGATGCCAGCTGGGATCGTAGGAACAGAAGGCACGCTGGGTGTCTGGATGGCGGGCAACGTTGGCAGGATGGTCGTCAGTTTGCCAAGTGCGTCTTGAAGAACGGTGACCGTGACCGTAGGGTAGGCGGCGGAGCATCCAGCTGTGTAAGAGGCACCGGAGCCGCTAACGCCGATGTTGTCTGCGGCGACGCCGGAGGCGAAGAGGATGGCACCCAGGACCAAGACGGTGGAGAGTTGGAACTTCATCTTTGCGATTGTGTTGATTGATCGGATGTGTGCCGAAGGGTTTGCCACAGAAGAAGCAGGTGGAGGAATGGCAGTGAGGAGCTTTGAAGAGCAGGTAGCCAGGCGAGGCGAGAGACTGTTTGATGAGGATGAGGGACAGAAGAACTACGCTTCAAGAGCGGCCGCCTTTATACCTTTCGTCTCGACACGACGCCCTGCTATACATGTCGTTACTTCCTCTTCGAGTCGTGTTGACTACCCGCGCCTCAGCCTAGCCGTCGATAGACAATGTCTAGTTGCGACGTTCACAACGCGACCTCACAGCAAGCCAACTGATGGTTGTGATCCATAACCCCACTTTCGAGCTTGCATCTTGGGAGGGATATCAAGAAAGACGGTCTAGAACTCCGCAACCAATCCTGTACGCATGCGGCTTCCCAAGCCATATTTTGGATGGGTGCCTCTTCATCGTAAGACTCGACGATGGATTTGCGCTTTTAAAAGCAAGGTACGGTTGGACCTAGCTTCTTCCGAAATGCAGAGCGAGGAATCGCTTTT